AAAAAAAAAAAAAAAAAAAAAAAAAAAAAAATTAGGACACGAAGCGATAGCCGAGTGTGCCACTGATGTTCTTATCACAATTTGGCGTCATCTGTAATCTATTACTGAACAGACGCACAGCATGGAATCTACATGTTTTATATTGTAAAGAAAAAATAAGAATGATATTGAGGCCATCTTTGTGTCTGTCCTCAAATAGATCACAAGTGAGAACCAATCGAAATGCGAGAATAATTTGACTTATGCACTGAAAACTGTTAGTATTCACACCTTGCCTGATGAACTGTAGTGTGCAACCTAGAATATAGCTTTACCAACTACGATAGAGAAAACACCAGTAAACGCTGCCACAAATAAGTGACCCATTAAGTGCTTCCCAACCATCCCAAGCCAGGCGCGAAAGCCTTCAGAAATAAATCTATAATGAGCCAAGGGTACTGGCTTAGTCAGTTTCGCGTATCTCGTGTTTTCCAAGCTACACTCGCTGATCATGGCCAGAGTCAGTGGACAGAAAATTTCGCGTAGACACAAAATATCGCACACTCCATCAATATCGGCAAAGTCATTAATTTTATATATAACGTTGGCAAGGGTCAAATAATACTGTTTATTTTTTGAGTACCTTAATCTATCCATGCTTTTTAAACCTTTCCGCCACCGGGCACGCAAAATTTTATTTTGTTTTTGGTAGTTGAAAAAAGGACTAAGAAAATGCCTTGTTACTTCTCCCCTGCAAAGTCAGTTAAGTTCATTTATTCTTTTCAACGCATATTGAGCTTTGTTCTTTCTCTTTGTAATTAAAAATATTTATATCGCTAGTGGGTAGTAACGTTTGTCCTTGTTTTGAGTTATTAAAGGTTCTCCAAGATATTGGCTTTCATGTTCTAGCTGTTTATATCTGATGTAGTCAAAAAATATATCGTCAAATATATTGCGTCTACATGTTTTCAGAAATCACAATAAGGTATGATAATGAGAATAAGGTTCCAACGTGCTGTAAGCGAAATCTTTTCTATGACTGAGGCAATGCCCGTGGTTTTCAATTGTCTTCCTTTGTATTCAGGGTGTTTATCATGGATGACTTTAAGAAAAACAAAAAACGAAAACAATGACTGAGGCATGCAACTGCCTCAGTTAGCCTTTTATTAGCTACGGCCCTGACTGCTGGTGTAAACATACTATTTAAGGGCATTTATCAAGGCAGCGCAGGGTTGTTTTCAGTTTATGTTCGGTTCACTGAGTTTCCATTTCACGTCTTTGCCGTTCCTACGCAAAGTGCTGGTTGTTCGCAGAAATTAAGAACGGCAAGACAACCTTCAAAGGCGATCCACAGGGCTTCTTTTGATAAGCCATAAGGTCATCTTCGCGTTACACAACCACATATGGTCTCTTTGAAGGCTTGTCGATAGTTTGTGCTTTGAAAGGCATAAATAAAAGGGTTCAAAACTGAAGACAGAAGTATAAGACTTAGTGCAAGCACTGTTACCTCATTAGGCACTGGCCCATGTATCTCAAGCTGTCTTACAATCGAAAACGGTGTGAACGCGATGATAATAATAGACGTGACAATGATGGAGAGTTTTATGACCTTCTTCTTCTCCTGTGCGTCCACTTCTTTAGGAATGTTCATCGGGATTATCTTAGGACCAAAATACAGCGTACGAATTATGTGAAAATAACAGTATATTATGACCATTACAGGTAGGGCGATAGCGAGAACTATGGCACACGTCCAGAAGGTAAAATTCAAATGTACACTCCATGTTCGAACACAAAGTTGCTCTGAGCTGTATTCGTCAAAGTACACCAAAGGCGTAACGGCGGCTATTGACAAAATCCAAATAGCGATGATAAAATAACGAAGCGTTCGCTTTCTAAACTTGAGTCCATTGCTTAAAGGTTTCACAATGGCATTGTATCGTTCCAGAGCGATAACGGTCAGTGTTAGAATAGAGCAAAACGATGCAGCCGGATAATAGGAGTTAATCTTGCAAAGAAATAAGCCCAAGGTCCTTGAAGGCATAGGAAACGCTCGTGCTATTCCCACTGTGTACGCCAGAACGTTTGCCATTAAGTCAGACGCAGCCAGGTTGGCAAGCAAGAAGTTCGTCTTTGTGCGAAGATATCGTTTCTTCTTTACGACTATAATAACGAGAAGGTTTCCAGCGATGCCAATCGGGAGAAGGACGATTGCAATGCAAAGGAATGAAACCAGACCAAACAATGTAACTTGCCTCGCATTAGTGGTCGAGTTTAAGGCCGTCGCGTTAAGAGAAACGTTCATAATTT